GTTGGCTACTGATTGGGGCCTGGAGTTTCTGGGAAAGCAGATGTTCCCTACCCTGGAGTACGGAAGATATCTCATGCGGAAGAAGATTTATGATCAACTTCAAGATTCTCTTCCTGTCTTTACTTACAAGAAGTACCAGCTCCCTCGACCATTGAAGCATCCCGAGATTGCCCCCGATCAGCAGGTTCAGTATTCACTGACAGCTCAAGCACGGCCAGGCGAGGCCGGTGAGGAGGTGGAGCAAGAGAAAAAGAAAAAGAGGAAGAGAAAAGAATAGATTCCCTTCCCCTTAATCCTTATGTTCATCTGGCTGTTGAGCCTTTGCTGTAAACATTTGAAATACTTTCCACTATTCTTGTGTATGAGATGTCCTTTTTCTGCAATTTTTGTGCTCACTGTGCCTTGTATGTTTGTACTATATTGTTTTGCACAGGTGCTTTTGCACGGGGAAGGCGGCCATAGATGACCTGTCTTCCCTTTGCTCTGGGCTCAACGTGTGTGCGCTGAGTTGTCGCAATTGTCCCTAGCGGAGGTTGCATAGTCGACCTCGTTTGGGTGAGGCATTGTTGGTTCCATGCTGTTTTCAGTGGCAGGGAACTTGCCATTTGTTTGATTCGCATTCATGTATTTATAATTGTCCATGTTGCCTTTCGCATGTTGCATGCTTGCGCAGTAATAGATTTTCAGGGGTCCATTACTGAACAGTTTATCAGCAGCAGTGATTGCCAACTGTTGGAGCTTTAACTGGCGCTTTTGGCTGTCATTTTGGAGCTTTAAGTTGTTCCCTTTAGTTATAGCCAGTATCGCATTTATCTGGCGCCCTGTGCTTAATAAAGCCTTTTGGGACTAGTTTTTGCTTAGGAAAATAGTTTGAAACCTTTGTTTCGGTTTGCTCTTTATGTTATGAGGTGAGGTTAACAGGTGCGTTGAACAGGCAGGTGGCTTCATTTTTCGAAGTCTTCCCCTGTTAACCAATCTGAGCCCGTGCTATTAAGTGCACTTGCTCAGCCTGTGGTAATAAAATTCTTGCAAGTTCGCGACAGTAGCCTCACTTGCTGTGAGTTGCCGTTGCGAAAGGCATTTTATTTTGTAAAATGTCCCAAGCAGCTATAATATGTAAACAGAACTTGGAGAGTGGGTCCTAGATGTTTGCAGGGCTTGAGAAGTGGGCCCAACAATCATGATCCAGATACGAGGTTTTTTAAGCGAGCTCGGCTGGAGTCAGTAGTGATGCGTTGTGCTGCAGCCGGACTTTAATTCCGGGCTGTTCGGCTTTGTGCCATAGTTTTGGTAATGACCTCCTTCCTGACCGCGAGATATGGACTAGAGCTCAGCTATGCGGGATTCGTACGAGAGCCCGGCGTGGTCGGAAGCGAGAGGTGCAAGCAGTCGGACTTTAATTCCGGACTGTGGCATTTCGCCATCAATTTTGGGAGCCTGGCCACCTTCCAGACCGCGAGATATGGACTAGAGCTTGGCGCTGCGAGATTCGTGCGAGAGCTTGGCGGGGTCGGAAGCGAGTGGTGCTCAACCAAGGTCAGGACCGTCAAGTAGCCCATCCTTTGGCGTAGCACCATCAATTTAGGGAGTTGACCTCCTCCCAGACCGCGAGATATGGACTACAGCTCGGCGCTGCGAGATTCGTGCGAGAGCTCGGTGGGGTCGGGAGTGAGAGGTGCTCGACCAAGGTCAGGACCATCAAGTAGCCCAGCCTTCGGCATTGCGCCTCTATCTCCCCCCTGCCTGCAATGCTAAATAAGGAAATGAAAATTCGTGGGGTTGCGAGGACTTATAAACTCGCCTCAGCCCCATATTCGGGAGCCGCGTTGGGCTACTATCCCAGCTAGTTTGGTGAGGAAGGAATAATGACTTATGTAGATGCCTTGACTTTTCTCCTTGGGAGCCGTGTGGGGCTATTATCCCCGTTAATGTGGTGAGGAAGGAACAAGGACTTATGTGGATGCCTCGACTTCTCTCTTTGGGAGCCGTGTGGGGCTATTATCCCTGTTAGGTTGTGGAGGGCTTACAGAATGGCCTCAGAGATCGGGAGCCGTTGAGGCTGTTATTCCCAGATATTGGAGGGCCTACAAAGTGGCCTCAGTTTGTGGATTATTTGCCGACGAGCCGGTATCTGTGAGGATTTGTAAAGTCACCTCTGCTTTGGTGCTCTGCTGAGGAGCGTGTGTCATTGAGGAATTACAAAGTGACCTCAGAATTTTGGAGCCACTGGGGCTATTATTGTTGAGGTCTTGCAAGACGGCCTTGGACTGAGTGGGCTGAAAACCCAGTGTTCGCGGGGACTTATTATGTTGCCCCGACTTATGTTATTGCTGAGTCTGGACTGAAAGGCTTATTGGTTGCTTCCAGGGAGAGTTGCGTGTGTTAAAACCTTCCTTTATTGATTTTAATGGCGGCCGTGAACAGCTTACAGTGTACGGCTGAGGTTGCTATCAGTGACCCCGGATTTCCAATGCTCGTGATTGTGCAAAGTCTCCGTTTGGCGAGGGCTCATTGTCTCCTTTACAGCGCTGGGTCACTGGTAGTACCTCACCAAGTGGTGGACGTTCCATAATCTAGGAACCTCCGTGCCTTTTGGGGTGCTCAGTTTGTAGGTTCCGGGCCTGACTACGGCTGTGACGATGTACGGTCCTTCGAATTTTTTGGCCATCTTTCCCCCTTCATTGGGTTGGCTGGCCGCCCGTCGCCTGAGGACGTAGTCCCCCGCTTGGAAATCCCGACCTCAAACTCGAGCGTCATAGTAGCTCTTGACTTGACGTCTGTAATTTTCTGACTTCAGGAATGCGTTTTCCCTCCTTTCATCAATAAAGTTAAGATCGACTCGCATATCCTGTTCGTTCTGCTCGGGGTCGTATGTCAAGACCTGCAGGGTCGGGATCGTGACTTCTGTAGGGGTTTTGGCTTCAAAGCCGTAGCAGAGTGAGAATGGAGTTTCACCCGTTGCCCTGCGGGGAGTTGTTCTGTACACCCACAGAATGTTGTGGAGCTCTTCCACCCAGCCTCCACCCTCATCTGCGAGCTTCTTTTTCAAGCCCGTAAGGATGGTGCGGTTGGTATTTTCTACCTGTCCGTTGCACTGTGGATAGGCGACGGGGGCCGTAGTGTGTTTGATTCCCCAGCTAGCCAGCATGTCCTGGAAACTTCTGGCCTCAAACTGAGTACCATTATCGGTGATGAGCTGTTGTGGCACTCCGAAGCGAGTGAGGATATTTTTGTGGACAAATTTCCTGCACTGCACCTCGGTTATGCTAGCCAGTGGTTCTGCTTCTATCCATTTTGTGAAGTAATCAATGGCGACTATGATCCATCTGCAATTGCCGGTTCCCCGGGGAAGCTGTCTCACCAAGTCTACGCCCCATCTGGAGAATGGGATTGTCGTGCTTATGGGGGCGTAGTTTACCGTTGGGCATCCCGGGGCGTTCTGGAACTGTTGGCATGCATCACAAGCACGTGCCATCCAGGCGCAGTCTTTTGCCATGGTGGGCCAGAAATACCCCTGCAATAGGAGCTTTCTGGACATTGAGTGAGGGCCTTGATGTGCCGAACAGACACCAGCATGGATTTCCTCCATGGCTAGTTTGGCCTCATTTGGGTTGAGGCAGCGTAGGAGCGCGCCGTTGTAAGACCTCTTGTATAGCACGCCATCAAGGAGGGTATAGGTCGGGGCCCGGAGCTTACAAGTCTGGCCTCGGCCTCACCTTGGGGCAGTTGCCCATTGTCGATATACTCTTTTAGGTCATTGGTCCAGTCCCTCGGGATGGAATGCACCTGATGTATAAGGGTCTGCTGTATACTCCGCGTTGAAAGTTCCTCCACCTGAGCTATCATGGAGATGTACTCAGGCGTGTCAGAGCTTAGCTTCGATAAAATGTCAGCTTCCTGATTCTGGGCCCGCGATATCTGCAGTATTTCGTACATCTAGAAAGTGCCAAGGAGCTCCAGTGCAGCGGCTTTATATTCTTTCATCCTTTGCTCTTTTGTCTCACAGGAGCCGTTGACTTGCCCGACCACGAGCCTCGAATCACATTTGATCCTCAGCTTTCCTGCCTGCATATTAGCTTAGTCCTGGATTCAGGTTCGTTCCGATCTGAACAGCTCTTTCTGGGTTGGATTGGTCCGGGACAACAATCTCCAGTGCTTCTACAGGCTCGGCTCTGGGGGTTTCTTCTTCGAGGGCGGCCTGCGAGATGGTGTTGATGCGCATGTCTCTAGCTGCCATCCGTTTTGTCATCTTCATATAGCATGATCTTGCTATCTTCTGGCTACTCTGCAGTAACCGACCCCAGTCTCAGTCAGGAATTTTATGCAGAGGTGCCGCATGGAGATCACTGCCTCCAGGTCCTCAAGTGCTGGCCTTCCAAGTATAACATTGTGAGCGCACTCGAGTCGCACCACCACGAACTCCACAGGGATCCTGGAGCAGTCACTACAAGAAAATAGGTTATTTACCCACACTCGTATGTGTTGGTAAAACATTAGATATGTGTAGGTAATAATCTTTACCCACACATATTATAAATGTTACGATGTGTGGGTACGGAAACGTAGACAAATGTTATTAGCTACACTTCCAATTATGTGTGGGTAATATTATTATTTATAGCTACACATGTATGCGTAGCTAAAACACTTCTAAATGTGTTGTTTTTGGTCGATCATTTCAGCAAATAACCCGTGACATGGCATATGACGTGGAAGTACACGTGGCTGATGATGTGGCTTGTGACATGGCAATTTAGGTGTGACGTGGATAATGACGTGGCATAACTGATGAATCTTAGCCGTTGCCACATGGACATAAAGATGTGTGGGTAAAAGTTATGTGTATGTGTGGGTAAATTGTATTTTAAAAATGGGTAATAAAAGTGGGTAAAACTATTTCATTAAATATTATATTTATTTATTAAATACACATATCAAACAATTACGTTTTGTAATAGGAACACGGGAATGGATAATATATTATAACGATAAATGTCATAGTTCAAACTAAAATATTCAATTTCAACAAAGTATTAGCTAATCAAAAACTGCCAAACAAAATAAAACATTAACTAGCTGGTGCCGCAATACAAAGTATTAAGTCTAATATGAATTTTGCTTCTATACAATATTATCATATTCAGAAGTAGAGTCCTCATAACCGTCAACATGCTGGCCTCGATCAATAGAGGATGACCCACGATTAAGCGGTACTGAACAATGATCTAAAGGAACATGTGACATGGGAGGCATAATATTCTTCTCAATCAACAACTTTTTCATCATTTCAACAGTGCCTTAAAGTTCTCCAACACGATCCATCAATTGAGTATAAGTTGGAATATTTGAATCACCTTTGCTTCTTTTGGACCCAGTGGGAGACCGTCCCCAACCAAATAGACGAACAGATTCTCGTCCAAGCACCTTCTCTAATATTTGTTTATCAGTTAAATCTTCAGGTGATTTTTCTCTTCTCAATTCCATAATTTCTTCCTGTTAAATTATGAATGGAATAGTAACAATTCATTAATCAGGTAAACTGTGAACATCAGAACATGCATGTATATATATATATGTCAATAATGTAAAACTAATTAATTTGAATAAAAGATGCCGTGGTTAACACACACGGTCTGTGAAGTACACTTACATATTTAGATTCAGCTTCTACAGATACCCAACCACGTTCTGGATGCCAATGACGGAGACGCCACGTCTCAATATGACCAACAGGAGCATTTAAGTCAACCCCACGACTAATGTGATGGCGTGCTGTACTTTTAGATCCGTTTCTAGAAATCCATTTTCTTTTCTTACATGACTCAGCATTCTTCAAAGCTTTTTGCTATAAAATAAACACAAGTAATGATTATAAATATCAACAATAATGTATAAATGATGCATCCTGCTGTTTTTCTCAAAATAAACTACGAAACATGCTATAGCAAAGAAACTCCTATTCACTACGTTTACTACTACAGTAAGCTTTAAGACTTAAATATACTTTGTTAAAAAAAAATTAAAATTCATTAACGCCAGCATATCTTTAGGTATAAAACATCTTACCAGATATGAAGGGTCGCTCCAACAATTACATAGATATTCCCAATCCGATTCGCTAACACCCTCATAAGGCTTACTCTTTGCCTTCATCAGATCACCTGCACCTCCAACTGTTTTAAAATGTTCACGTAACGTACGTCTATAGTTATGCCAAGCTCTTTGCATTTGTTTATCAATAGCTTTTATGACATTTGCATCTTCCAAATCAACATTAAATAATGTCTGCATAACATACAAGAAGTTTGTAGTGTGAGTCTTCATGTATACTTACTCGAAATTTGTCACGAAGTGGTGCTCTTTCTTCTTCAGGCACAAACCTCCATTCTTTGTACTTAAGGTCGCAATACGTACGCAGGATATATCCAACTTCATTATTGAAAACCTCTGTGTTGTCACATATTGCTTGCATAAGGTCAAAGTCAAACTTTACTGTCAATCGTGATTTAGCACTCCTCATTTCTTTCCGGGCACCTTTACTGCATGTTATTCCACGCACATTTGAACCTTGTTTTGCGGTATCATTATTGGCAGATGAAACTTGAGTGCCGCTTTGAGTTTGGTCTGTAAATAAAATTATATTAGATTTAAATTACAATCTAATAATCTAAAGTCTTTTTTTTTATCTAGGAGAATGTAAAAGTTTTTATTCTGCATAAATATTTCCATAAAAATCCAGTTTCTATTTTCAAGACATTAAGTATTTCAGTTTTTAATTTTCTTTTCATAACTTCAGTTCTTTTATTGGGAAAATTAAAAAGCCTTTGAGATTTATTGCTTGTAACACAACTGGTTTACCAAAAACTATATGCTATTAAGTTATATCACATGCCATTGAGTTCACAAAAAACACTAAATATAAAGATGTAAATATCAAACAAAACAACATGTCACATCTCATAACTATTAATGTCGTGGTGACCTATATGAAAGAAGTGTTCAAATTGTCTAATTATTGATATAACTAATTTAACCTACTTGAATCTCTTTCCTTGCGGGTTCATCTGCAATTGGAATACTGCTACGTCCACCTCTCATTGAAACTCGAGTATCTCTTAGAGAATGAGCTATTTAATTACATTATAAGGAACATTGAATTATTAAAATAAAGTATTGATATAAATTTTTTTGATGTTGGAGATAAGTACTTATATCTTGAATCAATAATTACTTTGAGGCAACCACAGTAATCTTGTTATTCTAAATCATGCAACCAAAAGAAATTATCTTTTTAAATAATCCAAGAGAGTAAATGTACAGTTGATAGTTATTGATATAAATGACCCGTTTGAAACTCTTCTGATGCAGATCTATGTCCTATTGGATTCCTCCTACACCCACCTCTTGTTGAAACTTGAGTGTCTCTTAGGGAATGAACTATATATTTTGAAAATTAACTCATGAGAGATAAATAACAAATGTTATTAATTAATAGAAACACTGATTTACTTAACCTGATCGAAGCTCTTCAGTAGCATGTTGATCTTCAACAGAAATCCTACTACGTCCAACTTGTGCACCATATCCACCTCTTTTAGAACTAGCCATGGGAAACCTGCAACAAAGATTCAACAAAGAATTAAAATCATGCCACAGTGAAACTATGATATATACATATGAATAAGTTCAAACAAAAATAACCTAAGACTAAATTTATGTCATGCCATGGAGTCATCGTCACTGATATTTAGTTCTAATGCATCAAAGTCTTTGTCACTTTCAGACTCTAATATCAATTCATTGTGAAAGAAAAGCTCTCCATCGTCAGGGTCCTAATCTTCAACATCTTCTAAAGAATCTTCATTTTGGATATGCATTGACGTTTGATCCCGCATTTGTTGGACAACCTTATTCGGTAATGCCATTGGCTCTACATCTTGTCGAACTAAAAGAGGTGTGTCATCAATTTCTTCTATTGGATGAAAAGATGGTAACTCACTAGCATCTTCCTCTTGAAATATGTCATCACTAGCATCCACATTAGCATCATGCTCTGGTATATCATATATGCAACGATGATTTACTTTTTGTACAACCATCCAATTCTTGCCTCAAGCTTTATCATCTAAATAAAACACTTGTTGAGCTTGTGTGGCCAAAATAAATGGATCTTCGGTGTACCACTGGGATGATGTGTCAACAGATGTCAGTTTATAATTAACCACCATTGTTCTCCCCTTTGGATCAGTATTATACCACTTGCAACGGAACATGAAAACCTTCCTTCCAAGGATGAAATCAAGTTCTAAAATTTCAAGTAATACACCGTAATAAATGGTATCACCATTATCATCTCCAGTGCATACTCCGCTACATTGTGTCTTGAACTTGTCATCACGTTCTTTCCATCGAAATCTAACACCATTGACTATACAACTTTGCCAAATTGTGTAATGATCATCCGGTAATTGCGATAAGGAATACAAATCATCACTAGCTATCGGATCACCATTTACTCTAAGTATAGCCATCTGAAACCCGAATATTAAAATTATAAATTGTTAAAATTAAAAAAAAAGTTGATTTATACTTATATACTTAATATATAGGTTTTACCTTTTTCTTGAACCAAGCAGGAAATTCACGTTTGTGAATATTGTCCCATTCTTGTGCACGTGAGCTTGTCAAGCAAATAAGTTCCTTATGCTCTCTAAAGTGAAAAATAAATTACTTATAATATCAAATAAATTAAAAATAACTACAAATGAAATTATAATGGAAAACTCACTTTATGTAATCGTCGAGCTCACTTCCACAATTGTTAAGAAGGTACCATTGCACCACATTCCCATCTAATCCTAGATTTCCAAATTTAGGAGCTCCAAGTGTTCGTATTTTGTGGTTAAACACGTCCATCTTATAGTCTTCACTAGAGAGGTCCCAATTGCGCTCTGGGCGTGTAAATCTTGTTTCAATATCAGTTAAATATCGAGATAAGAATGTAATAGCCTCATCGACCACGTAAGCTTCAGCAATAGATCCATCAGGCCGAGCATAATTACGCACATATCCCTTATAAGTACCCATGCGCCGTTCAATTCCAAACATCCATCTAGGAGGAGCTGGACCACCCAATAATGCTTGTTCTGGTAAATGCACGCACAAGTGAACCATGATTGTAAAAAAGGACATCGCAAAAATTTGTTCAAGTTTACACAATATGATCACAATCCCAGTGTTTTCATGTCCTCATGTTCGCCAACATATAAGGTCTTTGTGCATAACTTCTGAAAGAATTGACAGAACTCTATTAGTGTGATACGTATTTTCCTATCGAGGAATGCAAGAATCGCCACTGGCAATATCTTTTGAAGCAATGCATGACAATCATGAGTTTTCATTCCTCCAAGTGTATTTGCATCTGTGACACATCGACTAATATTGGAAGCGTAACCATCTGGAAGGAGAACAGACTTGATAAACTTGCAAAACTCCTTACAATCATCTTTAGTCAAGGTATATTTAGCATGTGGTTTTTCAAATTTACCATTTCGTTCCCTCAACCACAACTCCTTGCGAATGTTATGATCTTCCAAGTCAAGACGTGCGTTCAAAGTATCTTTTGACTTTAGAGGATCATTCAATAAGGTCCCGACAATATTATCGCATACATTCTTTTCTATATGCATTACATCAAGATTATGGTGCATCAACAATTTCGACCAATAAGGGAGTTCAAACAAGATGCTCTTTTTGGCCCAATTCAATTCATTAGCACCACGTTTGCGTTTCTTATCTTTATTGTTCGTAGCTTTTCCAGGTGTTGCATTATGAACCTCCTTTAGCTGTTGTAAAATGACATCTCTAGAAAATTCTCGAGGCGGTCCTCTTCTCTCTGGCTTGCCATCAAATCCCCTATTCTTTCTCCAGCTATGTGTATCACTTAGAAAGCATCGATGCCCTGTATAGCATTGTTTTCCTCGAATTCGTTTCCATCTGGTGTCCTCGAGGCATACAGGACACGCCATTCTTCCCATAGTACTCCATCCATACAAGTAAGCATAAGCGGGGAAGTCACTTACAGTCCATAGAATTGCTGCCCGGAGAGTAAAATTTGATTTAGAATACTCATCATATGCTTCAACCCCATCTGTCCATAAAATTTTAAGTTCATCTACAAGAGGCCTTAGAAACACATCAAAATCCTTACCAGGTGACTTAGGACCAGGAATTAATAATGCTAAAAGATAGTTACTTTTATGCATCATACTCCAAGGCGGCATATTATAAGGCATCAAAATTACTGGCCACAAACTATGTGATGTTGACATATTACTAAATGGGTTAAACCCATCAGAGGCCAACCCCATTCTAACATTTCTCGAGTCTGCAACAAAATCTGGATATAACTCATCAAAGTGCTTCCAAGCCTTCCCATCAGCCGGATGACGCAGAACTCCTGGCTCTTCCTTGCGCAGTTCTTTATGCCAGCGCATGTGTCTTGCCGTTTGACGTGAAGCATACAGACGTTTAAGTCGAGGTCCCACCGAGAAATACCGCAGCCTCTTATGTGGAATCTTATTACGAACATATCGATTACATTTACATATAGGACATGTGACATCATTCTTATGATCACCATAGAACAACACACAATCGTATTTGCAAACATCAATAAGTTCGTAACCTAAACCCACGTCACAAAGTAGCTTCCTAGTTTCGTAATAGCTTTGTGGACAATTATTGCTTTGTGGGAGCACTTCACGTAGTAGCTTCAACAACATTTCAAAGGAACCATCACTCCACTTATTCATCACCTTTATATTCATCAATTTTACCACGAATGTCAATACAGAGGATGTATGACATCCTACAAATAACGGGGTATCCAGAGCTTCATATAGTTTTTCATAATGAGATTTTTTTGCCATGGGTTGCTGATTTGTAAGAAATTCAGTGGTATCCCCAATATCAAAATATTGATTACCAAATGCATCATGCAGCCCTGCTCTCAACCCATCAAATTCATCATTTTCAAACTCTTCATTACCCGCACCTTCATCATCAGATTCTTCTTCACCGTGATACACCCACCGTACATATGACGTATCAATTCCTTTAGTTATCAAATGTGCTCTGATGACATCAATAGAATGACTCCTTGAATTAAAGCAATTATGGCAAGGACATGTTGTCAATCTCTTACGATCTAAACTCTGTTTAGCAACATTTATGAATTCTTTGATGCCAGCCACATATGCCGGAGCGATCCGATTTGAAGACTTCACCCAATCACGGTTCATATCATGAGTATTCTACTAATGACAGCAAAAACATGGAAACAAAAACATACACAAACACTGGCTTAGAGAAACATTCCATTTAGTTAGGTTAGATGTTGACAATTTATATGTCTTTTGAACTTAAAATGTGAAACTAGTAAAAACATACTTGTTAACCTTTGGATTGAAGGGAGATCTGATTCGTTTGTTTCTCGAACCTGCAAAACATATAAAGAAAATAATGTAGAAGCAACTAATACTGAAGAAAGTATATTTAAAGTCTCAAAGTCATCTATTTAAAGTCTCAAAGTGAACTAATACCTTATTACTTAGTGAAATAAGAATGGAATAAACTGAAAGGAATAAACTAAAAATTAACTAATCAATAAACTGAAAGGAATAAACTAAAAATTAACTAATCAATAAACTGAAAGGAATAAACTAAAAATTAATTAATCAATAAACTGATAGGAATAAATTGGAATAAACTAAAAATTAATTAATCAATAATCTGAAAGGAATAAACTAGAATAAACTGAAGATTAATTAATCAATAAACTGAAAGGAATAAACTGGAATAAACTAAAAATTAATTAATCAATAAACTAATGGAATAACCTGGAATTTAATTTAATGGAATAAGCTGGAATTCCATAATCAGTAAAAAATAAAGTAAAAGTGAGCTGAAGATCCCTGTAATAAGGCTTCAGGCTGAAAGTTTTAAACTAAAAAACAGAGTAAATGTGAGCCGATGTTCAGACTATGGAGCGAATGAAATAGGACCTGCGGCTCACCTTCTTCACTTGCACCTTTGGATGGACTCTGGAGTGAGGAAAGATTCGAATGACTCTAAACTTGAACTTCTAGCGACGAGACGAAAACACTAAAACTTAAAAAAATGACCGGTCAAACGACCGCTTTTTGTGAGAAGCTCTGAAAAGCAAGGTCAAGAAAAGTGCTGGAAAAGCTGGGCTTTCTCATAGCGAGACGCTTCTCAAAAGCCAAGCAGAGTTTGAGCGCTCACCTGTGCTTTGTCACTTCTGACCACTTTTAACAAGTTTGATCAATATATAACAATAAATTATGGTTCAGGAGGTATCTTTTGCTTTTGAAAATACATGTAGCAACAATATTTTATTACTTCTAAGAAAATAGGCACGAATGTTAAAAAAGTGGAGTAGCCATATCTAATTAAATTGACAACAATATATCATAATACATGCACAAACAGTTTTCAAATATCGAAACAAAGGCTACTGTGAAACTCCAGCTTAAAAAGGTCCTTTGTATGGGTGTTGTTGTTGGTAATGTGGCAATGGAAGATAAGCAGATTTTCCAGAATGTTCAATTGAGTGTGAATTTTTTTGTATCATTGCTGAAAAAGAACTGGCAAAATGTAAGGTGCTTGTACCTAAAGACCACAATGGGAAGGCCTATTCGTATCTTTTAATTTATGTTCTTTGTATTCTTTTGTCAAGTTCTTCCAAGGAGACATGATAATTTCTTAAAGTTATTAGTAGGTACTAAGAACAGTTGATCAGTCTTGTACTGCAGTTTTCCAAGACTTGATTTTTACAGCATCTTGCAATTTGTTTTGTTGTGACGTGAACAAAAAAACAGTTTTCAAATATCGTACTAATACATAAAAAACACGCTCAGTAAAAGATAAATTAACAATTGCATTACTACTATAGCAGACTAGCAGTTCTACAACCTGGGAACAGTTTCAATTCTCATCATTCGTCCCCTATTATCACTATAGTACCTCTTTATGCTCACTTTATATCAAAGTTCAATATGTAAGACCTAACAGACCCCAAAAGAAGAAGATAAATGGGATGAGGAATGGGATGAGAAGCCTCTTTTAAGTGCAGCAGCAGGAAGAGGCGAACCCTGAAACATCCGAACCATAAAAAAGGCTATGTGGTTGGACTTAGACCATATATTTCAGAAGGTGCAATTATAGAAGATACTGATGGGAGCAGACTACTATGAGACGGACGCTGAAAAAAAAAAAGCTTCTGCCTTCAAAGGGAAGCGTTAAAGCTTCTGCCTTCAAACAGAAGCGTTTCAACTGGCTGGGATGGGCAAGAACTCCAACATTAAAAGGGTAGACGAGTGTAGCACCCAATGTTCTAAAATTCGCTAGGCGCTAGTCGGGCGGTCAAAAAATACTACATTACACAAATTAAGTTTAAAGTTTAAACATAATAAAAATGTTGCATACTACTTAGTTTAATAATTAATAAGTTAGGATAACTAGGTTTACAATAATAATTAAAAGTCATAGGTGAGTTTTATGATTTACTATTTCTTTTTTTAACTAAAAGCCAGATTTTGGTTATTAGAAAAAATGATTTTCAGTTTCCTTTGGTGTTGTTCAAATAACGTGGTTGTTAAAATGATTAGTATAATTATGAGTGGTTCTAGTTTATTATACTATGGATATCATGTAACTCTTACTATCAGAAAACTAAAACCTGGGAACTGCCAAGCACCTTTACACGAAGTTCCAAGTCTTTTGGGCTACCCCTATTGATGATGAACTTAGGATAGATTGAAAGAACATAAAGTCTTAATATTATATTAGAGCATATTAAGCTCAATCGAGCAATTCCTTACAAAAACAATGCATATGAAAACTTTGGGGCTATTTTTCGCAGTAATGCAAACTTTTTAGGATAACATGACTACATTGTGAGGTGCTTGTTTCTACTTATTAAAGCAAATTCTGCTGTTTCAAACAACTACAACCAGAAGAATTAGTTTTCAAACAACTACAATCAGAACAACCATAAACCTTACATTATTATTTAGTCAATGTAAGGGTTACAGTAAACCCAAAGATTCATACCATTTGCTTATTAACTAACACAAAGATTCTTACCATTTGCTGATACTCAAGTTCTCAAATAAAATGTGCATCTCCAATTCATCATACATTGATTCCTCTGTTTCAACTTTCAAGTAAACCCAGACAAAACAAACATGTCAGGTCTAGTTTTTACATTAACTAATCATCCAAGCTTTCATATTTTTGGGTTGCAACCATTCAAAACAGAAAGTACCAGGAGTAGACAAGATTTGACTTCAATTTCTACAATAAAACTATATGCAATTCTGTGAAAATAAACTGAAATCAAAATGGCATCCCTTACAAGACATATCATGCTGTGGTTTGCATTCCTAGTGCAAGAAACAACAAACTCCAATATATCCTCCAGGTGAGGCTATGCAAGCCACGTTTCCACATCAAGAATCCATATATAGTACTCAACTAGTCCACTCCCAAAAAACCAACCAACAAAGTTGAAATATATGTGGGTTTGTATATGTTCTTCTAACCAAAAAATAGTAAAAACGAAAAACTAAAAACTAAAAACAAGTAAGGAAATGTTCTAACCATAAATTAATTCAAACCAACGAACTGAAAATACCTTTATCTGAAGTCTGGACACTGGACTGTGCGCTGGACCCCTGGACACCTTTACTCAGAGAAGAAGGAAATACAGAAAGGGAAGAATAGAAGGCTCAACGCTGGTTGACTACGGCGGCCATTCCATCGCAAAGAAGAAACGTCCTATTAGGTCAAAGAGAGGCACCCCAATTTTGTGGATTGATCGCCAAGAGAAGAAAATACGACGTCCTCGTCATTTGGAGTAAAAAAAGTCAAAAAAATGCATTTTGTTTTTAAATGGTTTGAACCGACTAACATGGTGCCTAGGCGGACGATTTTCAGGCGAGTTCTCGGTCTGGGAGGCCGAGTAATCGGCGGAGCGATTACAGAGGCGATTACCTGAAAGTCAGTACGGGACCTGTCCGCCTAGCGAGTATCCGGCGCCTAGGCGGCCGATTTTTCGGATTTTTAGAACCATGGTAGCACCTGATGATTCCTAAAATTCCTTGGCAAATATTGCTCTCCAGAGTCTCAAGAGGAAGCACAGCTATTTAATTACTTCTACTTCAGGAGATCAGTAATATGAACTGAACTAAGAAATCAAATAAACAACGAGTAAAGTCGCAGGAAAAAAAATTACCTCTGCTTCGTCGCCTATAAGAGAAGATCTCAAAACCTTATTCCCCGATCTGTCCGATTCGTCTTCCTTCGGGCCAATTAGAGAAGTTTCCTTAGAATTACAGAAGAAATCGGCAGAGTGATATGTTAGGTTTTAGACGGCACTGGAATTACAGAAGACGTATACTGTGAGGCGGCGTATACTGTGAAGCCCTAATGGGCGGGTGACGTGTATTTTAGGTTGGTTATCCTTTATTTTTAGAAAAAAGATAATTCACTTTTCAGGTTTTATCCACACTTTTAAAATACATATTACTTATGTGTTGCTAATTAAAACAATATTACCTACACATTTTTATTTGTGTGGGTAATTCAAAAACTGAAAAATCCCACCTACTTACCACGTCATATAAAAAAGTGCCGCTAGAATGAAAAAAAGACGGGAAAGATTCCCGCTAAATTTAAATGTGAGAATTTTTTTTTACCCACACATAATATATGTGTCTAATTAGTTTTTTATACGTTCACTAATTGCCCACACATAGTGAAATTATGTGTGGTTAAATACCCACACATAATATGTGTAGTTATTTTATGTGTGGGTAATACATCTGATTTCTTGTAGTGAGGTTAGATGTGATACTTGGATCTAATTATCATAAGGTTACGATTCGTACCTCGGGGCTAAGAATATGGGATTCGTCGCGGACATACTTCTTCAATTGGGAGATATGAAAGACATTGTGTACCTACGCATAACACACTTTAGTATTTGAGAGATATTTACTAAGGTATTCACTAACGAGCGGTTATAGTATGTTATACCTTAGCCAACTCGGTGGGTAGAGCTAGACGATATGCCACTCTTCCCACTCGCTCGAGGATGTCATATGGCCCAATGAACCTCGGGCTTAGCTTTCCCTTCTTTCCAAATCTCATTACTCCCTTGGTCGGGGAGACTCTGAGTAGGACTTTTTCTCCCGCTTCAAATTCTGCTGGCTTCCTTCTCAGGTCTGCATAAGACTTCTGACGATCTTGTGCAGCTTTCATCCTTGCTTGAATCATCTTCACTTTCTCTATGGTGTCTTGGAGGTAATCCGGCCCTAACACCACTTGATCTTCCATGTCACCCCAGCATAGTGGGCTTCTACACTTTTGACCATATAGAGCTTCGTACGGGGCAATTTTGATACTGGCGTGGTAGCTATTGTTGTACGAAAACTCTATTAAGTCCAAGTGTTCGTCCCACGACCCTTGTAAGTCTAACATACATGCTCTCAGCATGTCCTCGAGTG